CAACGCATCCACCACTCCACCTTGACTTACCCGCGGAGTACAGTATAACCTCTTCAAGCTTTATTGTAGCAATTCTTAACTTTTGAATACTTAACTTTGCAATCTTTATGCCCTTTTAATACGGGGGTCTGTTTCATTTTTTAAATTAAGATCTCTTGAAGGTTCCAAGTCTTAATAATTTGAACTGATATATTAATTAATGAACTGATTTGCAGATTCCCCAAAAACGTCATTGCGCTCAAGTACTAAACAGCTATAAGATGGCTGAGGGCTAGATGCTGAGTTTTCTCATATAAAGCTAAATGTCTGAGTTGAAGTTTTAATGGCAAAATAGCACTCAGCCTTAACTAAGCTACTACCTTAATTACAGCCTTACCTACAGCTACTGCCTTCACTGCAGTCTTAACTGCCCACTGCTCCTGGAACCATTTCTTCAGCCTCTCCCTGTCTTACTTTTCTGTGTGATTCGCTTTCTCCACTCAGGATGCTCTAATGTATGTCCTTCTCCTGAAGAATTCCCTTTATCTATTTTGCTACTCCTCTGGCGTTCCCCTTCTCCTCAGCCCTTTGCAGCGTTGGGGGAAAGCACAGGCAGCCTCTTGCACTAGGGGGTAGTTTTTGTCTCTGAAAGCCAGCTTGGAGATGGTGATTAACAGGTGGGGAAGAAGGGAGTCTAGCATCCGAGCAACAGCAAAAACAGCTAGATGTGGGAGGACTTCAGTGCACCTGTACAGCCTCCTGTATCAAGGTAACTTCACGCACAAGAAAAACAGAGGGAAGGAGACTTCTTGTTCCTCCCTCTCTGCAGAAACTCTGCCTCCAGCTGTGAGGCCGAAAGAATGGCACTCGAAGCTTTTCTTCTTCCCCAAATACCATCTTAAGGCATGGGACCAAAGGACCCAGGCATGGACACTCATCTTTGATGGGACCTGGGAACCCATCAGGCAGCGTAACACATGATCTGTCACACTGTGCGGAAGGATCATACGGCTTTCCCTGTGCTTCTTGATCAACCAACTGCTTCTCTGGAAAAGCAGTTACTGTAGATTCCCAGATAAACCGTACATGGGCAGTCGATTTGTGTGTGCGCAGTGCAGGTCTCTCTTACCTACATAATGAGACCTGTAGGTCACAGGCACATCACATCTGCACTGAAGATAAGGCCCTGGTTGTCTCAGACCTCCTGTAGCTGCGCTGTATCTTGGTGTGCACAGATCAAGAACTACTCTTCTAGTTTCTCAGATGAAATTCAGGATAGATACATCAAGGATATATACATTTCTTTCTGAATGCCTGACTTACTGTCCAGGGCTGTCCTGGATTTCACCATCACACTCTGGGTTATTTCCTCTGGTTGAAATCCCACATAAATGCTTTGCTAAGATCCCCCAAGATCCTTAAGATTACCGTGTCCTAGAGTCATAGCTGTGAATGACCATTCAGAGAGCCTTTTCTGCCCCAAGCAGACTAGCCTGGGAAGATCCACATCACCCTTGAAATAAACACTGCCAACATCGGCTTTTTTTGCAGCAGTACCCGCAGGCAGCAACTGCTTCTTGATCTTGCTGAGCGATACACTTATTTGTTGTCAAGGGCAGATTGTGGCTTTTGCTGCACAGAGATGTAGCTGAATGATGAGGAGATGGCCTAGGGGAAGAGGCAGGGAATGTTGCTCTTGACACACGTATATTGAATAATTAGCGATAAGAGCCAAAGAAATACTCATGACTCTGTAGAAAGATAAATAGATTTTTGATTAAATTTGAGTTTTCTCTTTTAAAGCAGTTGAAGTTGCTCTGCGATTGGCAGCATGGAAATGAGTTTTCTATGGATTCTGGCTGGCTGGAGGATCCCTTTTAGAGCTGTTAGTCAAGATAATGCTGCAGATATCTAACTAGTGTGTGCTGGCAAGAATTCAGAATGGCTGTGCCAGAAACCTGTGCTCCCTAGGCAGTTGCAGTGCAGCTGTTGAATGATCAAATCAATCCAACTTGTTCAAAGGATTTATTATAGCATTTTCTCCACCCATTCTCCTAGATTTTGGCAGAATTTCAGTGCTGCCTTGTAAGACACCTAGCAGATTCCACTGCACTCCAGCTGACCTCAGGAAGGTAAATGCTTCAAGTGCATTTGCTAGTGGGACACATAAATAGATACGTACCTGTCTTGGGTTCTTCACAACACTTACATTCTTCTTTTCAAGGATGTTAGCGCAGGAAGTTGTCAAGGTGGTTGCATTGCTCAGCATCCACAATTAAGAGTTCTGAAATCTTTGTTGGAGTCATCGTAGACAAATAAAAACTCAGAAGCACTCTGCAAATTGAGATACTGACTCTTCCAGTGCACCTCAGATGGCATGGCCACCCAAAAAGTAGTGTGCTGAAGGATGATGCTGAACTGTATAGGATACCATGCAGGATTTGAGAGGTCTGGCTTAAGTTTCTAGCTCAGCCACAGATACCACCTGTAGTAGCCATTTAATATACTGTGTGTCTTTGTGACTCCCCTTCTGTAGGAAAAGCAATGGTAGCATCATACCTGACAGAGCTAAAATGCATACAACACTGAGAAACTCAGACACGCTAAGTGACAGGAGCTCAAAGTTACCTAGATTGTGTCTTCACTCCTTTGTTACCCCCGATATGTCTTCCAGTAAACCTAATGTGACTCAGTTATATAGAGCATGTTAGAACTGATCTTTCTATTCTGAGGTGACTGAACTGAGTGAATGTCCGTGATCTGGTGTAATTCCTATACGCTTTTGGCTACTATGTTTTTTGTCCAAATTATAGTTGCATTACTACCTTCCCTACAGTTCCCATACTGCCCTCTTTCGCTGTTCTGTCTAAGCCATCTAGCACTGGTGACAGCTGGCTGTGCTTCTCTGGTGCTGGGTTGCAGTCCCAGTTCTGGTGCTGCTCCTTAATTCTGATTTGCACGTACCTTACGGATGGCCTGTACGCTACACACCGTTTTTATGATATGACAAAAAGACAACACCACTAGTCAAGCATTCTCACAAGAATAATTTAACTTGTCTTCAAAAAGCTTGTAAAATCATGCATTAGTCCAGTGACATAACTGTTTAGTGGTTAAGGCTTTGGGATACTAAAAAGAAGAGGTGTAGAGTAGCTGTTGGATTGCTATAAAGAAGCAAATGGCAGGGAACAATATATGTTGGAGGATTGGGAACACGTACATAACATTAAGCAATTCAGTGTCTCACTCTGGCCTCACTTTCTCTCCCGCAGTGGCCAGTGCAAGTCCCCCAAATCCGCCCCTGCTTAGTCGAGAAGCAACAATTTTATTAACATTACTGCCTGCTTTAGCTTTATTTCATTATTGTTGCCATCACGCTCTTTTGTTACTATAGAAGCTTTTGCCCTAGAAGGTTAAAGCCTCGTACAAATCCCAGTGAATTCAGTCATACAAACTTCTGTGAGGTGTGAAAGCTGTGGTGGCATTGCCCTTGTTTAGTCAGAAGAGTAGACTCACAGTGAGGTTCTGGTCACTTTTTTCAAACTGTGGCCAGCTGCAGCTTTTAAAAACGTTAAGTAAGCTTGTCCATGTCTACATGGCTGCCAGTGACAGAGCTGCCAAGAGAGCCCAGGTAGTCTGTCCTACCCACTAGGCACAAATCCATTCTTTTTGGACTCCCAAGGGCCAACTCTGGCCAGCTCTCTGAGGGAAGGCTCTGGTTTTCAGTATCTGTTTTGACTCTCGAATCGAGTTTTTTAAAATCCAGTCTAAATTTAGACAGTTGGGACCACTACTGGGCAGATAGACCTGTTTAGAATACCTGTGATAACCTTTTAAATGGAGGGGTAGAGGGGTATTAAATATTGTACTGAACTTCTAAATTCCACCTTTCCTAAAATTTGTGAGGGACCAAATGCATTTCTCTCTCCTCGCTTAAGCTTTGCTGTCAAGGTAGCTGCAGTCCCAAGTGTACCCTGAGTTTATTATCGTGGTCTGCCAAAAGCTGTGATACCAAATCAGGGCGTTCCATGCCCACGGGAGGATATTTTGCCATAAGATAAGTGTAGTGTGTATAGAAATTCAATTAATGGGCTGTCTCACTGGGCATTAATATAGCATCCTAGCACAAAGCTAACCTCATTGTGCTTCTGTTTTGCTCATTACTTTGTAAGACAGGTATTGCCCAGCCATGATTGCGTTTGTCACAAGAAACAAATGCACAAATGAAGACAGGCTCAGGGACTGCTGGGAGGTGTCAGTATAAACAATAGCATGATTTGCACACAGGTCTCAGACAGTTTGCATCCCTTTTACTTGTCAAGTTACTTTAATGAAGGCTATAAAATAAATAGCTGTGGCTATAATCTTTAGGAATTAAAATTATTACCTGGCAAGTTGAAGTAATTAACTATTCTCAGCCAGGAATCAAACCAGAGATATATGGGTAGAAGGATGCGAAAAGAATATATTAACTCACGAGGTAATAGTACTACTGTCCATCCTTTTTAGTTTTTTAGAAGAAAAAAAAATTGCATGTTGAAATCATGTATTGGCAGCTTTTATGACCGCTGGAGTAATTGAGAGCAATCTTAGCAGAAGAGATGCAAGACATGGTTTAGGGATGCATGTCTTTGGCCTGAAAATCTTGTTCTGTCTTTTTTCTTACAAAAGGCTATCCGGCGTGGGCCTTCCTTCTAATTAGATACAAGAACAAGGTAAAGGGTGGGATTAGAGGGCTGGAATTTACTATATAGTCACAGAATATGCCTGGTCTTTTCTTCTTCCTCACTTTTAAGAAATTCATAGTAAGGCCACAGAATTTTGAATTATGCTAGTTCTTGACCATTTTCTGAGTTTCTTAGAAATGTGTTCTCAATGAGGTAAGGAAAAAAGTACTGGTTTTGCACACTTGCATTCTGTATAAGAGAGCCAATCATGATTCTGCTAAACAAAATGGAAATGCACATAATCCATAAATACCAGACTGTTACATGCTCATTTGACTGTATTTTATGTTTCAGATCACCGCATTATGCTTGCCCTGAAGTCATCCGGGTAAGTTGGTTAACATTAGTGTGTATAAATGTATTTTTTTAAAGTGTCACTCGTCACAAGTATGCAGATAGACCCTCTGTACAGGAAATCTGTCCAAGGCAGACAGCATTGGAAAGGACATAAAGAACGTGACTACAGTTTTGTTTGTTTGCTCAGCCCTGAATCAAGCCACATTGACTGTATGGGGGAAATGATCGTGTGTTATTCTCACAGTACCTTCATGCCATGCGATCAGACAGAAATACAGTAGCCTTGTTTAACTTGATCTTTCCACCCCGGGGATGCAGTCCCCTACGCTTTCCTGTCTCTGATGTCGCTGTCATTTCAGTAGAAGAACCGGGGTTGGCTGTCAGTGGTGGTGTTTCCATTAAGCGATACGAACTATCCTTTCCCTCTACTCTCCCTTTGTCCTCTGAAAATAAGTATCCACGATTACAGTGGCCAAGATTCCCCTCTTTTAAAGCATATCTTTAATGTAAAGCCAAGCAGGAAGCATACAGAAGAGACTGTCCAGACAATACTATGAGTTCGCAAATAATGTGACTGGTGACAAGCTCCCTGAAGAACTGAGGAAGAGAAAAACACCTTCTTGATGTCCTTAATGCACCTCTGACACTGTTTAAATGTCGGGTCTGATCATTTGTGAGTTGTCGACCATTCCTGCCCTACTCCCCACTTCTGAGCCTGTTCTCGCAGATCCCAGATAAGACTGTAAACCGATGTTCATAAAAATTCAGTTAATGGGCTCTGTCATGGCCTCTAGTTGGGAAGGCCACCTTGGGAAGCAGGTGGCTGAATTGAAGTGTGGGGTTTCCCATTCTCCCCTCTCTTGCTCTTCAAGGATAATTAATTCATTTACTGGTGAGCAGTCTTTTGAACCTCTGTGTCATTGCTGTGCAGGGAGAAAAATATGATGGAAGGAAAGCAGACGTCTGGAGCTGCGGAGTCATTTTATTTGCGTTGCTAGTGGTGAGTCATCTTCCTTGCGCTATCCTTTAAAAAGAAAAGAAAAATCCAAAAATGCTGCTGTATATAATGGCGATTCTATTGACATCATGTACAGATGGGTTTTTTTAGTTCTCCTATTTTTGTATCTCTCCGTTGCATCCTTTCCTCTTATTTCTACATCAGTCCCAAAGGAAAAGCATGAGGAATATTTCACTGCTGCTTTGAAATGCTGGTGCCCTGCACAGGAGAGCATAGACAAGCGTCAAAAACTTGTCTCCACAAATGCTCTTTGCTGTGTTGTGGTATTGCAGCACATTTTTTGAGGGAAAGGATGTGCAGGGTTACAACTGCAGGATACAGACAGTGTCAAATATGTTGTCCTTCACAGGATCAAAATATGGCTGGGTTTGGGAGGTGTTTGTTTTTTCTGCTGTATGTATATATGTGTTTCAGTAGGTATATGCATACATTAACTGCAGTGTTTTACCAAGAGAAGATTTGAATGCAAGAATTTTGTTTCATGCAAGTATTGAGCTACATTTTAATTTGGTACACTTGGGAATAAAAAACTGAGCCAGTAGTACAAAGTTTAAATTAGTTTCCATCTGGCTCAGTAATACTTTCTTTAGTATTCAAAATGTGGTATCTTGTAACTTATCCTTCTTTCAATCAAAGTTTCAATTCTCTGTGGAATTTATTCTGATTTGCAGAGGTAATGTAATACTCCTAAACATATAATTGGATGTCCAGCTGAAGGCAGACGGGCTTGGCATTTGTTATCAATTTCCATAGTATAATGTAGGAAAAAATATAGTTTATGTTCATATAAGCATATACCATGTGCAGATTGAATACTGTGTATGAGAATAGATTTTATGTGTGTTAAGTTTTTTATTTCTATAATAGTTCAGATGATCACCTACAATTACAAAAATAACAAGCCTGAAGTAAAATCTTTATGTCCTTGTACATTTATTAGTAAACCTAATTACTTAAGTTTTATTTTGACAAAAGCACTTGCACAATGTACATTCTGCACATTATTTTTGTTTAAAATATTGAAAATTTTAAAGGATTTTTGTTTCAAAAAATATGCTGATAATTTTTTAATGGCCCGAATCAAAATACCTTGAAGTAATCTCAGTATGATGCTTTAATTCACCTTAACCGATCTTACTTTTTTTTGCTTTTTAGTCATTACAATTCACTGACATTTTTTAAGTTTTAGATTTTTTATCTTGATGTTGCAAGCGAAGAATTTTAAGTATCTCACTAGATAGCACCTGGTCATCTATTGCTCCTGAGCAGCTATTTTCATGGCTAATAAAATAGAACTGTATAATGAGCTCTTAATATAACTTCCTGAATTTCTAAGAATAGAAGAGAGAATGTGTCAAGATGGTTAGGATTTGTAGGAGTGTGCTTTTCATTTTCAGGGGATTCTCTGTCAAGATTTGGTGTATCTCCATTGCTGCATCTTCATCTGTTCCTACATACATACATGAGCCTGCAAAACAATTGAAATAAGTCTATTATTGATGGAGAGCGCAGAGCTCTCCAGATAATTATGTCAGGACAAACCCTACAAAAAGTCTCAAGCTGTAATAGCAGGTGGTAGTAATAAAAGAGCTGTAGTTGTTACCTTCAGGAAATGCCACAAAGCAGCCTTGCTGACTTCATCGTGGCTTAAATTGCGTTAGCCAAAGTACTGAACTATCAGAATTGATTTTCCTTTAAGTCTGGAACGGTTAGGAAAAACGTAGGTAACTCAGGAGATTGGTTGCAGAAGACGGGAGGCTCTCCTTCAAGGCCGCTTGAACGAACAAGCAACAGTAAATAGTGCCCAGTAGCGGCTGCCATCAGGTGGGCTTTCCGAGGCTTCTGAAAATGGAGCCGTTGGTCTCCGCAAACCAGAGACACAGGATTGCTTATACAAATGCACTTCTCTGTAGTAAGAGCAGTGCCAGAATTGACAACTTAAAGCTTCATTATCACAGCAGCTGACAGCTTGCAGCTTCCCACAAACCGTCCTGGAAATGAAGGAAGCTCGGCACCTACTAGAATTAGGCAGTGAAGGAAGGAAGTGAGAATATCTAGGAAGGTGCAGACTTGCTATAAAAGGATATCAGCTGCAGTCAGTGGAGTTATCCTAAAGATTTCAACTTCTTTTTTTCCTTTTTGTCCTTGCAGTGAGGATAGGTCTTTTGCTGCTTTTTGTGGCAAGCTGATGATCTATTCAAGTTGTAATTTCAGCTAAAAAAAACTGAAACCATTCATGTAAGTGAGCTACAGTAGGGAAGCAATAGGAACTGATGACCTGGCCACAGCATGGGAACTGGATGGAGTATATTAAACAGGTAGAACGTCTGCTGCTTCCAAAGGCTAATGTTGGTTAAGGTTTCTTTCAGCTGTGTCATTTCACTGCTCTATCAGAAGGAGGATGTTCTTTACTGAAAGTCTCTCAAATGCTGTTCACCTCCTTTTCAATGTCTGCAATAAATGTGTCTCAGGAAGATTAAAAATAAGGAGACAATAAACATTGCTGCTGTGAAAGTATGCCCAGGAGGAATACCAGCAGATCAAAAGCTTGAGCTGAATTTAAGTGAATCCATGCATCTTTGGTGAATTTGCCTGGAAAGGCAATTTCATATTTTGTATTATGTTTTATACTGGTAGTCATTTTCTAATTAAAGGTCTAATAAAAAACTATGTCCTCAGTTTTGTTTCCTATGTTGGAGAAAATACAGCAGCACTAAGAAATTACTTATTTTCAATGGATAAGAAGGTTTTTTCACTTATTATAATAATTCATTATGAGCTGACTTCCTTTTTCCATTCTCTCACCATGTTTATCCTGGCTTTTCTCCTTTTGCCCCCTCCAATTCCCTTTTGCTTGTCTCTCCCATCCACCACTCTGTCCCATCCCTGCAGGGTGCCCTGCCTTTCGATGACGACAACTTGCGGCAACTGTTGGAGAAGGTGAAACGTGGAGTGTTCCACATGCCACATTTTATCCCCCCGGACTGTCAGAACCTTTTGCGGGGGATGATTGAAGTGGATGCCTCGAAACGTCTCACGGTAAGAAGGCATTTTCTGCAAGTCATGTCGGCGAGGCTTCATTTGTCACCTTGTTGCAGTTACGGTTGAGTAACTAAGGTAACTTGTTGAATCCTCCTCAGCAAAGAATGAGCGGAGTTGGTGGAGTCTTTGGGAGGAAGTTAGTTACCTTCTCTTTTGAATCATGAGGGCAGATTACCTTTGTGTCTCTTCTCTAGCCTCATAATTCTCCTTCATATATAACAGTGGGCATTTAGAAGAAATCCCTCATAACGTCATCACAGTGCTACTGACCCATTAGCACATTTTGGAGTCCCCCTGAGTTGTCTGGCTCTCCTGGCTGGTACAGCAGTTTGTCAGGGACATGATATAACTGTTTGAAGGTCAAAACTGTTAGGACTGTTATTTGAAGTTTTGCTATTAAACAGAGTATGCTTATCTTACATTTCTGACGAAAGTGATCGCTTCTCACTTCATGCCACGCAACCTGCATTGTATTCTACCCTGCATGTGCTCTGCATTATCCTCCAGCAGCCTTCAGAGCAAGTGTCTTCTAGTCTGCTCTTTCATCTTGTGCCCTGTGGTCCTGAGCACGATTAGGCCCACGGTGTTGAGCTCCTGGCATTCAGCACTGAGTCTTTGCATCTAGGATACATCCCATCACTACAACAGAGACCCTGCAAGGGTGAGCACCTTGTAGTGATTGTATCCTTCATTAACACTGTGTTAATGTTTTGGGGAATTAAAAAAATTAGCAATTAAAATCATTTTGGAAAGCAAGATTGCCTGCTTGTCAGTGGAGGCTTCTGCCTTTATGGGTACATTGCCCTTGTAAATCCTATTGTCAGGCTCTGGTGATGATTTTATACAGATTTACTAAGCTCACAGATTCTGAGTGGGAGTATGTATAAAGAAATGTAAATTTAAAACTCCTCCTGGTTCTTCAGTCTGCTAAAATATTTATAAATAAACTCTCAGATCAGTGCTTGGCCTCTCTGCTGAGATTGCTAACAGCAGCATCAGTCTGCACCAGCTGTGATGGTGCTTTTGGGATGCAGACACCTGTCTGCTAAGTGAACTGAAACTCCCTTCACAACTCTCTTTACAGTATTACCTGACAGCTGCAGCTGGGTTTTTCTTTCATTCATTACAAAACCAGGTCGTGCTCTATTTGGTGATGTAGGTGAAAAGTTCTTCATGCTATTACTAGTATCCCTACTTTTGCAATCCCAGTAGCCATCACATTTGCAGTACATAAGTAGCACTGATTGGTAAAAAAAAAAAGAAAAATATTAGGCACTTTGAAAGGCCTTTTTTAAACAGATTTTTAAAGAAAGAAAGAATATTTTTTCCAAGTATTTTCATGGAAAGAACTGCAGAGGTTAGGGCTGTACCGAGACAGGAGACAGACATTCTTCATGACCAAGGTCACCAAATCCCTCTCTAGCTTAGTTTCTTTTCCATAATGTAAACATACCAGGTTTTCTGTTGGTTTTTTTTCTCTCAAAGATCTTGGCGCTGATGGTTTGAGTATGCCAGGGAGCAGATCATCAGGCGTTAGATCTTCTTCAAATTGACTGACTGAGTTTTGCCATAGAGCATAGTCCCTAAATGTTTTGAATTGTGCAATACAGCAGAGAATGTACACGCGTAAGAGAGAAAACTGTTAAGGTAAATCAAGGTCCCAGAGTGACATCTCCCTGCCCCCTGCCCCACCTTTTCTTGATCAAAATGAAGCTCTTATTTCCTTAGGGAGAAAAAAAAACAGATCAGGTGGTTATTGACAAGCACTAACCAGTGAATTGTGAATAAGAATTTAAATAAAATGTATTCAAGAGCTGAGAGCTTGGAGGAAAAAAGGATAGCTCTTTGTTATTAGCTGCAATCTTATTTTCGTTATTTTAGGGTCTCTTGGTTTGCTGTCCCTGCTGCTGTCACACTTCCCTTTCTTTGCTGTGAGCGTGCCGGTTGCTTAGATTGCCAGGCAGAAGGGAGCTCTTTGTTTACCACCCAAGAGCTGGGAATATATAGTTCATTCTGAGGAGAGATCTGAATTCTATTTTAGCTGTATCCTGTGAAAAAGGGTATAAATATGGGTTTCTTTGGAAGCCTCTATTCCTAGAAAATATCTCACTTGAATCAATTTGATATTTATACAAAGATCTGAGAGAAATTGTGGCTTGGGTACAATAAATACAGAGGTAGCTGTTACCATTACTGATCATTTTCTCGATATCTCACTGGTGAATTCAGCAGAAAAATACAGTGAAATGTAAGGTCACTAGAATTTTTTTCTTTCATTTTCCCTTCCCCTCTCTGCTTTGTTCCTTTTTTTGATTTGTATCTCTTTTCCTTATCATCCAACTGCATTTCCCTCCCTGCAGTAATTGCCATTTCACAGCACACCCACACCTTCCCCAGTCCATCTGTTAAAATGATCAACAAAAACAGAACTAGCATTCACGTTTAACTGTCATCATTCGGCTTCAGTGTTAGAGCTTGAGAGGACTAATGGAGAGGAGGGTACTCAGAACTATTGTTGCTGGCCCTTTCCTGCCTTAAGAAATAGGCATTACCTTTCTTTGTATACGATTCATTTACGGAAAGACGACTTTATTATGTCTTAGTGAAATATTGTTCACGCTCACCGTATATTACTTAGCCTCAAGTGTGGTTAGTGGGACGTCCTTGACCACTCTCCTTTACTGGGCCTGTTTTACTAAACACGCTTTAAAATAAAAGAATCCATGTCTTTCTTTCAGTAGACTGCAAAAGTTGATCCTAGCTGCTGGTCATGATATTTCTGACCACCCATCTTCAGGAAAGATGAAATCAAACAAAGAACGAGTACTAAGGTGGTCAGCATTTGAGAGCGCCTGCCTGAATAGCACAGCCTAAAAGAGCTCCACTTAGTCTACACAGATGATGTCTGAGAAAGGTTGTACTGGTTGTCTGCATATTCGTTAGAGGTAATTACCAGGGAGAGAAGGGTTATTTCAATTAAAGGAAGATACTGGCACAAAAACAAATGTATGTCAAATGGCCTTACATGAAAGTAAGCTAGAAATTAGAAGAAGCGTTTTAGCCATATTAGTGGGGTTCTGGGACAGCTTTCTAGTAGGAGTAGTGTCAGGAGGGAAAAGTGAACTGGTTTTAAGCTTGAGAAGGTTTACGGAAGAGAATGAGTGCTCTCGGTGCCTGCAGTACTGCAGGATGAGGTTTCTTTTAGTTGTGTGCCCTTTGGAAAGTGGGATTTTTTTCCTTGGAGGTTTCAAATGATTCAGCATCTCTACAGGGGAGAATTTCAGCTCCTGTAGTGGAATCCATTTGCATTCTCAGCTGATATTTTCTTCTACAGAAACACAAAGGCAAAGGAGGGAGATCCACTTTCCTTGTAAAGCTTTTGATCCACTTTCCGTGTAAAGTTGGATGAGCATTATCGAAACTTTGTCTGTAGAGCAAGGTGGATCAGAGCAGATATTGCAGAATAAGCTATTCTGATAAAGCTGTTATTGTTCCAGTGTTGACATTTTGTTCCAGAGTAGAATGACTTGTCTTCCATGTTGGGTATCCACATAGTCTGAGATACCTGTCCCTGAATGTTATCCAACTTAAATTACACACATTTTCAGAATCTCCTCTCTGCTCTCTGTTTGATTTTGTTTTTTCTTGGGTCTAATGTATGCTAATGATGGACCACAGCATCTAAAGAATGTTAAAAAAATGAACAAGGGAAAACACACCCTCATTCCTTCTTCATTTTTCTAGAAGGTCTTATGGTAAGGTGCCTATCACATCATTTAAATTATCTCACTTCACCACCTGTAGAACGGAGGTAACTGTCCAGTTGATGTATTTAGGCTGTAAGCTTTTGGTGCCAAGGACCTATTCATGCACCGTGCACATAGCCCAGTGACACCTTGCCCTTGTCAAGATCCCTGGAGGCTGCTGTAGTACAGCTGCTACTACTGACACAGATAACGGTTTTACCAGTGCTGTTTGCACTGCCAGCTTGAATCCTTTGGTCAGGAAAAGCCTCTATCCTGACATTATATAGTAGGTTTAAAGCTCAGACTAGAGGATCTTCTGAGTGAGGAAGATTCATCTGAGGTGTGGGTCGATTTAGTGCACAGATGGGTTTGAGACTGTTCCCTTTCTGGACAGGGAAGTTTGAAATTTGACATGACTTCAAGTCCAGAAGCCCTCATCCATATCCACAGACTTGGAGGAAGTTTTTCTTCAGGTCAGAACTTTTTAGCTTGGCAACCGCTCTGCTGAGATCGGTGCCGAGGATGTAGACAGCGCTGTCTTGTTTTCCATCTGCCTGTCTGTCTCCATCTGTTATTCCCTGCCTTAGAATTCAGACGTAAGCTCCTTGGAGGAGGAGACCTCTTTTTCTGATGAGCTTGTACAGCTCTGTATCACAGTGGGTCTCTCATCTGTGAATGGGGCTCCTAGGTGCTACTTCAGTATACAAGTTCAATATATATTGGAAGTATTTTTACATAAAACCATGATAAAGAAATTCCCCCACTCCTTCCATTACAGCATTTTAGCTTGCAGAAGTCTCTTCTCTGACTGTGCATGTGCAATGGATCTGAGCGTGTTTTGTTTCAGAGATGGCGTCATGAGACAATTGCCTGCGGTGGCTAGGAGATATTAGGAAACAGCATTTTTACAACTTCCATAAAATGGCATTAAATTTGGCAAACTCATGCAAACAGCAAGAAAAACCCTCTGGGAAGGGTTGTTAAATGCCTTCGTCACTGAAATGCATTTAAACATTGTGTTTAAATGAAGGCAGGAGGAGTGAGATTAGCTCCCACTGTGTATCTCCCTCCCCTGCATTGCATAGTAAAAAGCATACAGACTTCTCCTTGTCAAAACCAATCGCCCTCCCATAACCCTCCTGTCACTTTAATGCAGATGAAAAGCAACAAAGCATTAATTAATTACCTTTAAAAAAGCAGTGAAGATGTTGGCAGCAGCAAGCACACTTGTAATAACATTTCAGTGCAATTACATTTGAATCAGAATAGAAATTGGTTTCGTAGAATACTTTTCATATCTGGGATATCCCAGCGTACTTCACAGCAATGGTTTTTATGTGGATTGAACGGCAGATGTGTAGGTAAACAGCAGCCATGAGAGCTCTCATACACCTTCGAATGTACATCAACGTGCTACAGGACTTCTCTTTCAGAAAAATGCTGTGGGTTCATTAGCTTGAAGGAGATTGATCAGC